CGTTCTTGTCGGATCCTCGCGGAGAAAGAAGTCTGTTCTCGGAATGAATATCGCAAGAAACCGATAAGGAAATTGAGACTCGACGGGGAATCGAGATTTTTACGGTACGAGAGAGAGAGAGAGAGAGAGCACGATGTCGAACCTTTTTCGTTTCCATCGAAAAGAACGCGCGTTCCGCGGCCTATTCGCCGTTTTACGATTTAGGGATGCCAACGGTTCCGTCCGGGACCTAGGCGCGTCGCGCCGTCGTTCGAGGCCGGACGCCCTTTTCTCCTTTTCTCCTTTTCTTCGATTTTGAAAGAGGCACGCGCGGTCCCGCCACGCGACGCGCGCCGCGCACCGGTGCTCTTTCGTCATTCGTCCGGCGACAAAATTACGTTCCGACTGTTCCGAGCGCGTGGAGACGATTGAGCAACGAACAGCGTCACGTTTACTTTCGTTTCGCGTAAGGTCGATACAAGCCCGCCCAACTCCGCGCGAATCCAACTCGAGCTCGAACTCTAACTCGAAGTTGGATCGGATCGGATCGGGTCCGGTCGATTCGAAACTCTCGCGCGAAGCTCCGAAAAGCGGTCTCGACGCGCGAAGTGGGTGCAACGGTCCGTCGAGAAACGTTGACCCTGTTCGGAGGCTGTCCGAAGGGGGGCTCGAGGCCGCGGAGAGGTTGCTCGCGGACTCGGTTCGAACCGCGACAGGGTGGAGAAACCGTAACGTCGATCAACCTGGTCGGCGATTTCGCAACGGAGCGCGGAGCCGACGCGGTTTTCCTTGGTGCCTCGAGCGCGGCAAAAATCTTGGAACGCGACAAACAACCTTCCATCGAATTTTTTCTCGCGTTTTTATTCCTTTCGAATACGCAATCCTCACCCCGTCGAGTCCCCGCTCTGCCGGTGTTTCCAAGTTTTCCTTCTTTCGGTTTCCTCCTGCTCGAAGACGAATATCCGAGACGGAGCAACGGCCGCGGTCGAATCTCCGGTTTTCGGCCGACTCGAGCGAACGAACGGTCGATCGTATTCGAGCGTCGAGCGCGGAGCGTACGATCGAGCGTGAGCGCGTCGCCGCGCAAGTCCGCCGCGAAAGGAAGCCGCGACCAAACCCCGAGAATTTCCCAGTTCACGATTTTTACACGGTAATTTCGTTGTTGGCGGGCGCGCGTGGCTCTTTGATCGCGATCCAAAGCAGCTAATCGCTCGTTTCCGTTCCCACGAGCTCGTTGGAAGAGAAATTCCGCGCGTCGTCGAGCGATACAACCTTGTCCCCGAGATCCGACGCGACGCGACGCCGTCGTACCCGAAGAGATTTCTAGACGGCTCACCGGTTCGCCCCGCTTTCGAGAACGCGAGTAAGTTCGAACCGCGAGAAGGGTAACGAGCCGGTGTTTGGACTCGACGATCGATTCGACGTATTTCGATTTTCGAGGACAAGGACCGCGTCGCCACGAGTGAAATTAACCGGTTGATATTCTTACCGACGCGTACGGTCGGCCGCGTGTCCGGAATCGCCGACGGCCCTGTCGTAATTTCTCGGGCCGTTCCGATCGTTGTTCGGTTCATGGACGAGCTTGTGCAAAGATCCGTTCTCTCGGGCGATATCGTTTCGCGAACATCTCGTCGCGGCGTCGCGACGCGAGACGGCGCGCGGCCGCGGCCACCGATTCGTCGATCAGGGATCTCCGATAATCGGGGACAACGACCGGGCTGGGTCAATTTCGTCAGTTTCGAACGATGCGATCGAAGAGATCTCCGCCGATACGTCGCAACTTTGTTATTACGCGTATTGCGCAATTTCAACGTTTAATTATGTCTGCTGGAACGGTTACTCGAGCCGAGCTTGTTACGAATTCGTACGGTCGCGAACAAAAGGCGAATAAAAGAGCCCGTCGAACGTGTTACGCGAACGTTATTCAATCGCCGAGATCGAATAAGGCGCGCGAGTCGACGAGTCGGCGAGCCGGCGAGCTGGCGAGCGAGCACTTCTGTTACCCAATGGCCGCTTACTTTCTCCGGAATGGAGAAAGATCTCGGTCCCTGCGACGTCCGCGACGCCTGGCCTCCGAACCACCGACGTGTACGCCTCGTGCCTCGTGTTTCGTAGTTGGTCCCTTGTCCCTTGTCTCGTGTCCCTTGTCCCTCGTATCGCACGCGACCGTCTCGGAATCGAGTGCAAACGGTTTTAGAAAGTTGTTCCCGTCCGCGCCCAAAACCGATCATCCCCCGATCCTTGAATTCTCGCAGGCTTTCGAGTTTCCTGCTAATCGGGAACCACTCGCAGACGGGGGTATGCGCGTGCAACGTTCGGAGTATTCGACGAATGGGTTGGGCCTCGGTCGGATCGCTTCCGGCTCCAGAACGTTCGAGCGCGCTGGATGCGGTCGTTACCGGTTACGGTCTCGAGAGGTTCTACCTTTCTCGTCGAGAAAAAACGAGAGGACGATATCGATCGAACAGGACACGCTACGATCGTTCGGCGAGTGGGGTCAACGGTGAACGGATGCTCGCGTCCTCGCGTCCTCGCGTCTCCGGCTCGCGTGGGTTCCGTCGCCTTCGCCTTCGCCTTCGCCTTCGCCTTCGCCTTCGCCTTCGCCTTCGCCTTCGCCTTCGCCTTCGCCTTCGCCTTCGCCTTCGCCTTCGCCTTCGCCTTCGCCTTCGCCTTCGCCTTCGCCTTCGCCTTCGCCTTCGCCTTCGCCTTCGCCTTCGCCTTCGCCTTCGCCTTCGCCTTCGCCTTCGCCTTCGCCTTCGCCTTCGCCTTCGCCTTCGCCTTCGCCTTCGCCTTCGCCTTCGCCTTCGCCTTCGCCTTCGCCTTCGCCTTCGCCTTCGCCTTCGCCTTCGCCTTCGCCTTCGCCTTCGCCTTCGCCTTCGCCTTCGCCTTCGCCTTCGCCTTCGCCTTCGCCTTCGCCTTCGCCTTCGCCTTCGCCTTCGCCTTCGCCTTCGCCTTCGCCTTCGCCTTCGCCTTCGCCTTCGCCTTCGCCTTCGCCTTCGCCTTCGCCTTCGCCTTCGCCTTCGCCTTCGCCTTCGCCTTCGCCTTCGCCTTCGCCTTCGCCTTCGCCTTCGCCTTCGCCTTCGCCTTCGCCTTCGCCTTCGCCTTCGCCTTCGCCTTCGCCNGCGAACATCTCGTCGCGGCGTCGCGACGCGAGACGGCGCGCGGCCGCGGCCACCGATTCGTCGATCAGGGATCTCCGATAATCGGGGACAACGACCGGGCTGGGTCAATTTCGTCAGTTTCGAACGATGCGATCGAAGAGATCTCCGCCGATACGTCGCAACTTTGTTATTACGCGTATTGCGCAATTTCAACGTTTAATTATGTCTGCTGGAACGGTTACTCGAGCCGAGCTTGTTACGAATTCGTACGGTCGCGAACAAAAGGCGAATAAAAGAGCCCGTCGAACGTGTTACGCGAACGTTATTCAATCGCCGAGATCGAATAAGGCGCGCGAGTCGACGAGTCGGCGAGCCGGCGAGCTGGCGAGCGAGCACTTCTGTTACCCAATGGCCGCTTACTTTCTCCGGAATGGAGAAAGATCTCGGTCCCTGCGACGTCCGCGACGCCTGGCCTCCGAACCACCGACGTGTACGCCTCGTGCCTCGTGTTTCGTAGTTGGTCCCTTGTCCCTTGTCTCGTGTCCCTTGTCCCTCGTATCGCACGCGACCGTCTCGGAATCGAGTGCAAACGGTTTTAGAAAGTTGTTCCCGTCCGCGCCCAAAACCGATCATCCCCCGATCCTTGAATTCTCGCAGGCTTTCGAGTTTCCTGCTAATCGGGAACCACTCGCAGACGGGGGTATGCGCGTGCAACGTTCGGAGTATTCGACGAATGGGTTGGGCCTCGGTCGGATCGCTTCCGGCTCCAGAACGTTCGAGCGCGCTGGATGCGGTCGTTACCGGTTACGGTCTCGAGAGGTTCTACCTTTCTCGTCGAGAAAAAACGAGAGGACGATATCGATCGAACAGGACACGCTACGATCGTTCGGCGAGTGGGGTCAACGGTGAACGGATGCTCGCGTCCTCGCGTCCTCGCGTCTCCGGCTCGCGTGGGTTCCGTCGCCTTCGCCTTCGCCTTCGCCTTCGCCTTCGCCTTCGCCTTCGCCTTCGCCTTCGCCTTCGCCTTCGCCTTCGCCTTCGCCTTCGCCTTCGCGGAAGAGTCCTTAATCACGAAACGCGGCCAATATTTCGCGGAAGTTGACCGGCGGCTTTCGCGATCTCGTAATTACCAATCTGCGAACTCTTCGGCTTTTCGTCGCCGCTCCGCGCCGCGGTGTCGGCATTTTAAACGCGTGCCCATTGTTTCGAACAGATTCGGGTCAAGACCGATGGCCGTCGCATCATTCGTTTCTGGCCGCGTCTTCGGCGACGCTCCTTCGAATCGTCGTTTCGTTCCGAAACTCGCCTACCCGGTCGCTCTTAAGGATTTTCCCGTCGCGAGTCGCCGGACGGATGTCTACGTCGTTAAACTAATTGCGAGTCCGCGTTATTTGCTGCGAACACAATACCGTCTTCGTTCCTTCCGTCTTTCGTTTTGGCTGTCGCCGTCGCCGTCGCCGTCAACCGACCGTCACGGACGGTCGCGGATAATCGCAGTCGCCACCGCCTTCTTCGTTGCGTCGCGTTGCGAGTCCTTTCGAATTCGAGAATCTATCCTGCATCACCCGTTGTTTTATCAACCAACACGTTTCTATCGCGCTTCTATTCTAATCTCTGTTCCAAAGAGAAATATCGACCGAGCGTCCAAGACGTGGCAAAAACGGATCTTGCTTTCTATTACGCTACGACCGTTTTTTCCTTTTCCTCGGTTATAGTCGAGGCGAGGCGAGGCGAGGCTCCCTTTTTAATCTGTCTCGCATCCGTAATTTCTTTGGTCTGTCGAGCAATAACGAGAAAGAGAGAGAGAAAGGAAACAAGCGAAAAGTCGCGTCGATCGCTGGCTTTTAATCGCGATTAAGCCCGTAGTCGGTTCGTTTCGTGGAATCGTATCGTCTGAACCGGGGTTGGTTTTGTTCGCAGATGTGGAAGAATTTGACCTGCGTGGACGAGTTCCTGAACCGAGCGTTCCACAAGCTGGGCCTCGTGGTCGGTCACCACCCCGGCTACTTCGTGGTGATCCCGGTCCTGCTAGCTTTCATCTGCTTCACTGGCTACCAGAGGATTCATTACGAGATCGATCCCGAGTACCTTTTCTCGCCGACGAACGGACCGAGTAAAATGGAACGAGCGATCGTCGAGCAGTACTTCAAGGTCAATTACAGTCACCGGTTCAACCTGGGTCGCATCACGAGGCCAGGTGAGTTTTTCGGATCCCGAACCCCTATCCGCTAACCCAAGATTTCGTCGATTGTCGCGCTCACCGTAGACCTAAACTTCCTCGAATTCGATTCGAGTCCGCTCGACCCGTTCTCGCGATCGGAATTATCCCGGGCTCCGGGCCCGGACGAATATTTACGTAAGCGACGAACGGCTCTCCTCTCGAGCTTCCAGTTCAAGGAGAAAGCGCACGGTGCGCGCGGCCTTGCTTTCGGCTTCCTCCTTTCCCCTTTCCTCCTTTTCGGTTTTCCCCCTTTCCTTCCTCTTATCGTCTTCTTATCGTCTTATCGTCGTCCCGTTGTCCTCGTTCGAATCGTTTCGTCGGTGGACACCGCTCGATCGCTCTTTTCTCGCGCCTCTTTCGACCGTTTGGTTGTTGAGCTCTCGTGCAACAATTTTCAGGTCGTTTCGGCCACGTGATTGTCACTTCGAAGGACGCTGCGAACAATCTGCTGAAGACCGCGGTGTTCGACGAGCTCCGGCAACTGGACAACATCATCAGAACCGCCCAGGCGAGCTACGAGGGCGAAGTTTTCACCTACGAACAGATTTGCGCCAGATGGCTGGACGAATGTTTCTCCAACGATATTCTGAATCTTCGTTACATCATGGAGTAGGTTCCGGCCGCGACGCGACGCGACGCGACGTTCCTTCGTAATTAGACGGTAGCATTTTTCAGGGACGTGGAGAAGAGGGAGCTGAACCTGACGTTCCCGTTGATGCTGAATCCGGTCACCTGGGTCTTCCACCTGTTACCCGTTTACTTCGGTGGGAGCGTGATAAACGAGGATCGGGTGGTGGAGTCTGTACCGTCGTTGCAGCTGGCGTACTTCCTCACGGTTGACAACGCTCGTCAAGACGCTATGTAAGTTGTCCCGAGTCGACCCGAGCGAGTCTCGGACTCGTGCCAAAACCAAGAGCTCGATTCATCGATCGCGTTTCTTCTCGAAACAGCGGAGCAGCTTGGGAAGAAGCGTTCCTCGAGGCCGTGAAAAGAGTCGAAGAGGAGGCCGTGTTCGAGCACATCGCCACCGCGAGGTTCGCCTCCAGGACCCTGGAACTGGAACTCGAGGAGAACACGAAGACGATCCTACCCTATTTCACCAGCACGTTCGTTCTGATGGCTCTGTTCTCCGTGGTGACCTGCATGATGACCGACTGGGTGCGCAGCAAGCCTTGGTTGGGACTTTTGGGCAACGTGTCGGCCGCGATGGCCACGGTAGCCGCCTTCGGTCTCTGCATCTATCTGGGCGTGGACTTTATCGGTCTGAACTTGGCCGCGCCTTTTCTCATGATCGGTGAGTGCAAGGGTCGCGCGCGAATCCAACGACCTCCTCGAATCGAACGCGAAACAACTCGCCGGAGGGATTTCGTAACGGGCGGCACGCTCGGACATAGTTGGAAGAGCGCGCGCGCGCGCGCGCGCACGCGCACGATCATTATCGATAACGAAGCAACTTTGGCGTTCGTCGCCGTGTTCGGGCGACCGTGACCAAAGAGAAAAGCCCGGAGACGCTTCCGCTTTTCACGTAAATCACCGTCCGGTCGTTGGATGGTTCCGCGGCGATTCGCGAGAATCGTGGCCGCGCGCGGCTGCTCGTGCCCGGTCGATCGTATCGTGATCGAAATTCGAATCGGACGGGTCCGGATAATTCTGGAAAAATGCCGACCGCGTCGCTTCGTCGTCGAGCGGTCGCTCCGCCCTCGAGGCGCCACGTCGGCGATCGAAAATACTATGCGCGATATATTGGATCGACGAAATCTCGTTCGCAGGAATCGGAATCGACGACACGTTCGTCATGTTGGCGGCTTGGAGACGCACCAGTATCCTAAAACCGGTGCCCGAAAGAATGGCCGCGACGCTGAGCGAGGCAGCCGTGTCGATAACGATCACGTCTCTGACCGACATGATATCGTTCTTCATCGGGATCCTCTCGCCTTTCCCTTCGGTGCAGATCTTTTGCATCTACTCGGGTGAGTCGTCGAGAACCTTTCCACCGAAACTGTTTCCACCGATCCGAATCGATTCGCGAACGATCTCTCCTGGTAACGCTCTCCCTCTGCTCGGGCCTTTTCAGGATTCGCCGTGGTCTTCACTTTCATTTTTCATCTGACCTTCTTCACCGGATGCGTGGCCATCAGTGGCTACTGCGAACAGAAGAATCGACACAGTCTGGTCTGCTGCAAAGTGCAGCCTCTCTCCAAGTCCTGTGAGTACACGTTTTAGCGTAAGTCGACCATTTTCGGTGCGTTTCGGTGCGTTTCGGTGCGTTTCGGAGCATCGCAGAGGGAAAAGAAAGCAATGCAAAAGGAAACGAGCGGAAGTAGAGCGGAACATTCTAGAGAAACGAGCATCCACGCAATCAATTGGCGCATCTTCTTTCCGATATGAAAGGGGTGAGAAGCGAGCGGCGAGCGACGAGTAGCGAGAAGAGTGCGGCTATGGGCCGCGCAACTTCGAGAGATCGCCGGGATCTCGAATACGCAGTTTCGACCATCGTTACCGACCGAGGACACACTGGGAGACTGTACAAATAACCCTGGCTGTACGAAGAGAAACCCTCGATATCGATGGGATGCGCGGAAACGAGAGAGAACGTTCGAGTGGAACCCGATAATACCTGTTCCCGTTCCCGCTGTTGCGCAATCGTTGTTCAAGAATTTTCACGGTAAAAGCGAGCCACGCGTTTCGCTTCGATCGGTTATTACATCCGAAGTAAGACGCAACACGTGCGTCCAACGCGCGCGCTTCTTTCTTCCGCGCCGGAGCCACGCGCGATCCGTCGCCTTCGTTCGTTCAAAAGCGAAAGAAAGGCATTCGCGGGCAAAGAAGACGTTACCCGGAATACTTTCACATGCCGGGAACGTATCATTCGATGTGTTTTTATTTGAACTTTCATTTATTTTCCTCGACCGGTTACTTTCTACGTTAACGTCTTCGAGGATAAGCGTAACAAGAAAATCTTTCGGCCAGCTATCGGGGCTCCATGGTCCGGCGCTCGAATCTGGTCCGCGTCAAGCTCGGTTACGCGAACGGTTGTCGAAGTTTATGCGATCGCTGTTGTCGAGAGAGAACGTCGCGAGAGAAAGCGAAGCAAACGAAAGCAAAACGGAAGAAAAGAAAAGAAATCAAAGCAAAGCATAGCAAAGCGAAGCAAAGCGATGCAAAGCGAAGCAAAGCAAAGCAAAGCAAAGCGAAACGAAGCAAAGCAGTGGAAACATTCGGTGTCCAGATCCGTCGGTGCGCTCGACTTTCTCCATCGCCGAAACGCGTTTGCCACTCGATTTCAGAGAAAACCTACTTCGATCGCTGTCACGACGAACGCGTTACGTCGAAAAGGAGCGCTCGGATGCGCTGACGCAGAGCCGCCGAGCCGCCGAGCCGCCGAGACGCTCGCACGCCTCGCGTTACGTTTCAGAGTCGTTAATTCGTTAGATCACTGACCGTTACGTAAGCGGTTCGCTGGACTTTCTCCGGCGCGACGCGCGACGCGCGACACCGGTCCGCGCCGCGGTTCTCGTCTTCGCGCGCCGCCACGATTCCGTTCGAATGCAATGGAACGCTTCGATGGAAAGCCGGACCTGAAAACGCAAACATCAGATTTCGTTTTCCGTTTTTTCAGCGAATCGATCCTGGCTGTACAGAGCACTGTGCACCGGAGGCGTCGACCCCGACGATCCGTACAACCCGGTGGACAACCCGGAACACGGCTGCATGAGCTGGTTCCGCGACTATTTGGCCGCCGCGCTCAACTGTCGACCGATCAAAGTTCTGGTCATTCTGATATTCGCCTGCTACCTGGCCGGCGCGCTCTACGGACTGACGACTCTTCAGGAAGGCCTCGACCGACGCAAGCTTTCCAAGAACGACTCTTACTCGATCGTGTTCTACGACCGACAGGACTACTACTTCAGAGAGTTCCCTTACAGAATACAGGTGATCGTCGTCGATCCTCGTTTATTTTGGTAGTTTATTCGGTAGGTAGGTGGTAGATGGGCGCTTAAAAATCGCCGATTCGTGTCGCAGGTTGTGCTGAGCGGCGAGTACGACTACAGCGACCCGATCGTTCAGCAGCAGGTGGAAAACTTGACCAGATCTCTGGAGGCGAGCCGATACATCAGCAGCGCTCCGATCTATACGGAAAGCTGGTTGAGGACGTTTCTCGGCTACGCGAAGATCAGCGAGATCGATGTTCGGAACAAGACCGTCTTCTTGGAAAAGTTGAAAGAATCTTTGCTACCGAGGAACAGCTTCTCCGTGGACGTGAAGTTCGACGAGGCCGAGGAGCGGATCGTGGCGAGCAGATTCTTGATCCAGGCGGTGAACGTCAGCGGGACCAATCAAGAGAAGGACATGGTGAAGGAGCTGCGCCGGATTTGCGCCGAGTCGCCGTTGAACGCCAGCGTGTTTCACCCGTATTTCGTCTTCTTCGACCAGTTCGAGCTGGTCAAGCCCACCAGCATCCAGTGCATGGTGTTCGGCGCGCTGATCATGATGCTGATCAGCTTCGTTTTCATACCGAATGTCCTCTGCTGCCTCTGGGTCGCCTTCTGCATCATCTCGATCGAGTTGGGGGTTGCCGGCTACATGGCCCTCTGGGACGTCAACCTGGACAGCATCTCCATGATCAATTTGATCATGTGCATAGGATTCAGCGTCGACTTCACCGCTCACATCTGTTACGCGTACATGAGCTCCAAGCAGAAAACGCCGGACGACAGGGTCAGGGAGAGTCTCTACAGCCTGGGCCTGCCGATCGTTCAAGGCGCCACCTCCACGATCCTCGGCCTGATAGCGCTCGTCTTGGCCGGCACCTACATCTTCATGGTGTTCTTCAAGATGGTGTTCCTCGTCATTTTCATCGGCGCCATGCACGGCCTGTTCCTCCTGCCCGTCCTCTTATCCTTGTTCGGGCCCACCTCTTGCGAGGCCGACGTCCCGAACCGCGACGGCGACACGCTCGACAAGGACCACGGCAAAAACAACGGCGAACAGGAGGATCCAGCCTCGAAGCTTCGCCGATCGTACGCGATCCCACACCCCAGCCTCTCGCTCTCCTATTATCGTTGCGGCGGCGGCGGCGGCGGCGGCGACGCCGATAGCGTAGGTTGCAGGGGTACCGGTGGTACTGCCGGCGCAGGCAACGCGGCCGTGCTCGAGAGTCCGCAGGCTAGCCCGGCGGTCAGTCTGGCCGCTTTCGAGGAGAGAGACCCCGGTCTCGGGACCAGCGAGGACAGCAATTCGACCGAGAGCGGATCTTCGCAAAGCAGAAGACGAGAGGGCCAGTTGGAACAGGAGAATCATAGGCCTCGCAACGTCTGGAGGAGATCCATAGGCGTTCTTTACGGCGTGTCGCAGTTCCAGACCGCTGCGCGACCAGCCTCGCCGCCTCCGGACTACGTCGACGTCCTCCAAGCGCTTCGAGCCGATCGAGACCGCCGAGCGGTGCGAGCGAACCCCTTCTGCATCCCCTCGCAGCAGACGCAGCCGTCGCGATCCTCGTTGCAACGGCAAGCGCGCTCGTCCGAGCCGACGGACGCGGCCCGAACGGAACCAGCTGGAACCAACTAGGGCCTAGTTGCTAGGAAAATTGACACGAGCGAGCCCAACGAACATTACCTTCCCGGCTCTCTTCGCTCTTGTTCCCGGGAGTGCTGGGACAATTTCGGTCGTGTCGCGGAGCCTTCGTTGCGAGACGGTGGTTCTCGAGCTCGACGATATCCTACGTCTTACGAGACTACGCGTCCCACGCGGTTCACGGAATGGAAGAGTATCGAGGCCGAGGAGTATCGCGACCAGCGTGCGAATCGCCTCGAAATTTCCGGCGAATCTCCGTTGCCGAGGAACCGCCAACACGAATCGTTACGGTGATTACGATTACGATTACGATTACGTTTACGATTACGACTACGATTCCACCAAGTATTTATTAACGCGATCCATCGTGCGAGGAACGGACATTTGGGCACTCGATCTTTCTCTTCTGCCAGTGCTGTTCGGTGAGTCTATCTCTTCTAGGATATCTATGTAATTTCTAATTTACGAAACGAAACTGACGAGCGAGCAAACCGACCTGGCAAATTCGGTCTGCGGCTATAGTAGAAACGCGTTCAGCGATCCCGCGAATCGTCTACCATTCCGTTGTCGTCTTCTCGAACGAGTTTCGACGAGCGAATCCTATTTAAGTCAACGGACGGAACACATATCTATCGCGATTACGTAGCGTTTAAGGACCGAACGGCGACCCCCGATCGACGTATTTTTCCAGTAATCGATGGAAATCTATCGCGCGTTCGAGTAGTCTACATGTAGGTGCGCGTACATTACTCCGCGTGCATTTGGCATTTCGCATTTGGCATTTGGTATTTCGCGTTTACCATTGCGCACGGTATATACATTGTACAACGAGACGTGCCTTACCGAGCGACGTGTTCGTATAGAAGCAGCCGGTTAGCAGGTCGATCGTCGTGAATTCGCCCGGCGCGACGGAAACGAGTCCGAACCCGAACCCGAATCCGAAACAGAAACAGAACCTGAACCAAAGCGTGGATCAACTCGATCGGGAGTCTTATCTACGAACAATCGAAGCGGACATCGCGCGTTCGCGTTGCACGCTCCAAACAGCTTGGCACCAATGTTTTGCGAGCGAGCGGAATACATTGACAGCGAGTGGCGGATACGCGCTGAAACAATTACTCTAGGACGAAATATATTCTGCTATCCATTTTCTAGTTCTCTATGTTTTACGCTTTTACCAGTTTTCCACTTTCGCCGAACAAATTCCTCTATTTCGATCGAACGCCACCCGGACGATTGGAGCAGCAGCCACGCGGGATCCGCTCGAATCCTGTCTTGGAACGCGTCCGAATTTCTATCGTAACCACGGTAACGTCTTTGCCGAATCGATCGGTTGGAACCAATTTTTCTTTTTCTTTTTCTTTTTCTTTTTCTTTTTCTTTTTCTTTTTCTTTTTCTTTTTCTTTTTCTTTTTCTTTTTCTTTTTTCTCTTTTTGTGTTCCTATAATTTAATTTTCGAGCGGACGTTTCTCCAATGGCTATAAGAACGACCAGGTACAGTAAAAATTTCGGCGCGAAAGTTCCGCTGTTTTCAAATTCAAACGGTCGAACGGCGCCGATCCATGCAGCGACGAAACGTCCAAACTGTTCGCCAAATTATCGACGCTAGGAACGTATCAACGGCAGCGGTCCCCTTGCGGTGAAATTTCATATCAACTAAAACCGATTACCGGCCATTCGACGAACGGTTCGAGCGTTTTGCCACTATCCCGATCGGCGCTGTACAACCCCTCCCCCCATCGAGCTGTGAAATTTTGCCACAAGGGGGCCGTTCGTTTGTTCCACCGGTAATTTGGCGACTAGTTCGAGCATTTGTTCACCGTCCAATTGGCGCTGTACGGCGGTTCGAGAGCGCGGTACAAAGATCGATATCGGAATAGATAATTGACAATCGTTTCCAACGAATCAAATCGAACCGAAATACGCGAGACATTTTTGCGGACGCGTTGTCAGGGATCTCTTCTGGATTTTTCCATCGTAAAATCCCGCGTATTATGCCGGCAATGTCAGAAATCGAGAGACTGCATCTTCGGAGACCGACGCGCGCCGTGTACCGGGCCTTCCATGTATGTATGTACCTATTGTATATTGTACATCGATACGCGTCTATTTTTCGACGCGTTCTCGTCGGCGTGTGCCGATGCGACAATGATTAAACGTTTCCGTAGTCAATCAAAATCCACTTGCTCAGCTTTTCTAAGGATAATTTATTGAATAACAAACACTTGTACACTTTTAGCAACACGTATCCAGATAGTGGAAATTGAAATCGGTATCGATGGTTCTTTCTGCGATTCGAGGAAATTCATGTAAACGTAGATGTAAATGTAGATGTAGATGCAAAGGTTCGATTTGTTGGGATTGCGTGTGCGTTCGCATCGTCGTACGAACGCGCGTACGACGAATTCTCGGCGCAGGAAAGATCAGTCTTAAAAAATAATACAACGCTAGCTGTTCGTACAAGTAAAAGGCATCTCGTTCGCTCCCTTCCGATCCCGATTATGTACAATTTAAAAACCAGTAACCGACAGGTATATCTCTAAAGTATTACATTCTCGAAAGTCGTAAGGCATCCTAATTGCGTCTACGCGCTCGTTAAAATTATACTACGCGAGTACAAACGTTGACATTTTGCTTCCGTTCGCACGCGTTCCATCCGAATCGCTTTAAAATATCGAGGTTATTTAACGCATCGNTTCGCGTTGCACGCTCCAAACAGCTTGGCACCAATGTTTTGCGAGCGAGCGGAATACATTGACAGCGAGTGGCGGATACGCGCTGAAACAATTACTCTAGGACGAAATATATTCTGCTATCCATTTTCTAGTTCTCTATGTTTTACGCTTTTACCAGTTTTCCACTTTCGCCGAACAAATTCCTCTATTTCGATCGAACGCCACCCGGACGATTGGAGCAGCAGCCACGCGGGATCCGCTCGAATCCTGTCTTGGAACGCGTCCGAATTTCTATCGTAACCACGGTAACGTCTTTGCCGAATCGATCGGTTGGAACCAATTTTTCTTTTTCTTTTTCTTTTTCTTTTTCTTTTTCTTTTTCTTTTTCTTTTTCTTTTTCTTTTTCTTTTTCTTTTTCTTTTTTCTCTTTTTGTGTTCCTATAATTTAATTTTCGAGCGGACGTTTCTCCAATGGCTATAAGAACGACCAGGTACAGTAAAAATTTCGGCGCGAAAGTTCCGCTGTTTTCAAATTCAAACGGTCGAACGGCGCCGATCCATGCAGCGACGAAACGTCCAAACTGTTCGCCAAATTATCGACGCTAGGAACGTATCAACGGCAGCGGTCCCCTTGCGGTGAAATTTCATATCAACTAAAACCGATTACCGGCCATTCGACGAACGGTTCGAGCGTTTTGCCACTATCCCGATCGGCGCTGTACAACCCCTCCCCCCATCGAGCTGTGAAATTTTGCCACAAGGGGGCCGTTCGTTTGTTCCACCGGTAATTTGGCGACTAGTTCGAGCATTTGTTCACCGTCCAATTGGCGCTGTACGGCGGTTCGAGAGCGCGGTACAAAGATCGATATCGGAATAGATAATTGACAATCGTTTCCAACGAATCAAATCGAACCGAAATACGCGAGACATTTTTGCGGACGCGTTGTCAGGGATCTCTTCTGGATTTTTCCATCGTAAAATCCCGCGTATTATGCCGGCAATGTCAGAAATCGAGAGACTGCATCTTCGGAGACCGACGCGCGCCGTGTACCGGGCCTTCCATGTATGTATGTACCTATTGTATATTGTACATCGATACGCGTCTATTTTTCGACGCGTTCTCGTCGGCGTGTGCCGATGCGACAATGATTAAACGTTTCCGTAGTCAATCAAAATCCACTTGCTCAGCTTTTCTAAGGATAATTTATTGAATAACAAACACTTGTACACTTTTAGCAACACGTATCCAGATAGTGGAAATTGAAATCGGTATCGATGGTTCTTTCTGCGATTCGAGGAAATTCATGTAAACGTAGATGTAAATGTAGATGTAGATGCAAAGGTTCGATTTGTTGGGATTGCGTGTGCGTTCGCATCGTCGTACGAACGCGCGTACGACGAATTCTCGGCGCAGGAAAGATCAGTCTTAAAAAATAATACAACGCTAGCTGTTCGTACAAGTAAAAGGCATCTCGTTCGCTCCCTTCCGATCCCGATTATGTACAATTTAAAAACCAGTAACCGACAGGTATATCTCTAAAGTATTACATTCTCGAAAGTCGTAAGGCATCCTAATTGCGTCTACGCGCTCGTTAAAATTATACTACGCGAGTACAAACGTTGACATTTTGCTTCCGTTCGCACGCGTTCCATCCGAATCGCTTTAAAATATCGAGGTTATTTAACGCATCGATAAAAATATTCGTCCTAGAGATTATTTGTTATTTTAAGATTAGATATTTTCCAGAATTCGAAAGAACATCTTCGTTCGCGAATCGACCAAATTCTTTTCTCTTTTTCCTTTTCTATTTTCTGTTTTATTCTCTTTTTTTTTCTTTCGCCTCAGCACCTCGGTTTTATCGAGTTGCTCTTACGCAATTAGTCTACCTGCTTCGAACTCACCGTATGTGGCTAGGTAAGCACGTATTTACGTTTCTTTAACAATAACAATCAGACTTTTCAGATATGCTCTAAACGTTACGATCGCGTCTCTTCCTTTTCGGTACAACCAGCGTTTCCCTGTTTAAGCACTCGCCAGCACTCTGTTGTATCTCGTTACATCTCGTTCGTAACGTTTCTCGTCCATCCAGAGTACACCTATGTACGCGTATTCTCCCGTTACACGTATAAATATTTGCTTATATATCGCTATACACGGCGATCGGACGAATATTGCTATTCGCGTCTAAAATCGATCATCTTTCTCTATAAATATCATTCTATTTCGCGATCGCGTCGCGATTAATGCCCAGGTACTGTGTCGTGTCACATGTTCTATTAATAAACTAACGCGGCCGCGAATCTCGTTCTAAACTGCTGAAACTCTTGACAAGTTATTTACCCGCGTATTCGGTTACTATCTTTCAACGCTGTTTCCATTCGTAGAAAACATTCTCGAATTCCGATTTTTCTCAGTGCCAAATTCAGAACGATGGATCAAGATTCGAGCCGCACCTTTCGCAACTATTTTTCGCTACTCTAACGAGGCTATGGAATGCTGAGGTGAAAACGTTTCAAGGCAGCTTTGGTTTGTACTTATCGGTGTGTAAATACCTGTCTATCGCGAGTGTGTTGCGCCCATTGCTACACCGTACGGTGAAACTGAACTTGGACGAGTACTTAGGTACCTATGCAGTCTTTCTATAAAATCGTTTCGCGACAAATTCGCTGTACAAATGGCCCGACGCGAGGCGGATTCTTCTCGTCGTCGTCTTCGTCGTCGTATAAACTTGCAACTTGTACTATAAAATCTGAGATCCATAAGTAAAACGAGACAACGATCGATCGTAACCGCAACCTTTGTCGTCGCAAACTCCGCGTCGAGAGCGTGCTTCGAAATATCTCTGTGCAGTGTCGAGTTCCGATGCAACCGTGCTCCGATCGGAATCTGTCGGTTACTCTTTGGACAACGAGTGACCAAGTTGCGAATGAAATACAGAAATTCGGTTACGAAATTACGAACACACAATTCTTGCGATCTAATACGCGTTCATAAAAAAACTGCAACTCTCTTCGTTTACAACTAACAAGTCGCGATTAAACTTTAAATCTCATAATATATATATATAATATACTTTTCATAACTTATATATATATGTGTGTATACGTGTGTATGTATGTATATATGTATAATACACATTTATACGCGCACGCGCGTGTTTCTTTACGTCTCTTCCGCATACATATTTTCCTGCGCGTATTCCTATGCGAACGCGTATACGTTCGAGTATATATAAAATGTATATTTTATATATATATATATATATATAAACACGTACACATATAATCGATCTATTTATACGTCTATACTGTTCTCTTCTCCGTGTATACATATAATATATCGGTATTTGTAAAATAAAATTATGAAAAACCACGGTTCCGACGAGCTGGTAATGCAGGTTCGATTCATCAGTCTTAAGGTATAAGCGAACAATTCTTGTCCATTGTACGATATGAGGTAGTTCGTTCTATGTATAGCGTGTGTATAATGCATAGTATTGAGCAATATTGCAGCTGTATCCCAGGGCCAAGATCGGTAACGATAATGTAACCTTATAATTAGAACAAATTAACAGCGATATCTCAGTCGTTAACGAAACTAATGAAATTCGATTCTATCGATTTCTTTCGCCGCTCGATTCTCCCGTAGGACTATATACGTGTAACTCGTATACGATCCTATCGTACGGAACAGCATTCGATATGCTTAAAGATAGGAATATTTCTCTGAAAATAAAAATAAAACGATATCGCTAAAATAATATATACTAGCGAATCGAAAATCGATAAGATTCTAATGGTATCGGTACGTCGATAGCGGAAAAACAAATCAAAATATCGAATCACAATAATAAAAATAATAAAAGTTCCACGTCCGCGTATTCACTGGTCCGAAATTGTTTAAAGCTCAATGCGATTCGAACGATAAAATATCTTCTCGCGATCGGTCGATCGAGTACGAGTATGTTCGCGGAAATTGTAAACGCGATAGAATCAACGATAATACGATGCATTTTCGATCTCGATGATTCCGATTTTTCCACGATTTCGCGATATCGCTAAAGGAAGGCACAGTTTCTCGGTAATTAGCATTAGGCTTTAACAACTTTGGAGCGCAAACTGTGATTAGAATCGTGCTTCAGTCTCTCGAGTCTACGATGCGCTAAATCAGTCTTCCGTAAAGTAATGCGAGAGGATGATTCCATGAACTCCCGTCTCAACCTTTCAACCAGTTCACGATAATTCATCGTATCGTCCTCGATGTAATATTCTATTCTATTCTATTCTATATTCCGTTCTATTCTATTCTATTCTACTCTATTCTCTTCTACTTCATCCATGGCTTACCGTTACAAGGGTAACGCGCTGCTAATCCCTGAGCCGTATCGAGCGCCGTCTCGATCGGTATTCGATCGCCTTTCCCTCGCTTCTCGTTTCTCGCGTCTAATTCCGTTTCTCTTCTCGTCGTTTCTCATGCACCATCGTTTCTCGTTCCGCCCGTGCCCCGTCTAAGAAGAACCGAATTCGAAAATCATGGTCAACGATGCTGCTGCATTCGAGATTATAGTACGTTTGGTTGCGGTACAGAGCCCGTGCCAAGGAAATTCGGGGCGAAAAGGTCGCGTGTCGCGTTCAGTTACGATTACAGGAATCGGAGCCAATGTCTTCCTCCTCTTTGACGACCGATACGGGTGGCACGATTACTCGGACATCCGACTTCCGACCGACCGAGAGATCCTCCACTTGATCCTCGTTGCTCTGCTGCTGTTTCACGGAGTGCAGTAGCGGACTGGGACTGCATCGGGCGATGTCCAACATCTCCCGATCGACGGAAGCCTCTCTGGCCTTGTACGTGTCTAGGATCGGCGCGGGATTCTCGATCACCGTGTTGCTGTTCTCGTTCTCGTTCTCGGACAGGCCGCCGCCGCCGCCGCCGCCGCCGCTGCCGCCGCCGCCGCCATATATGCTTCCGTTGACGTTACCGCCGATCCCGTAGGGAAAACAAGCGCCGCTGCCGTTCGAGCCGCGTTTGAAGGGACGCGACGTCGTGATCCCCAGTTTCTTCACTTTGTCGTAAAGGGTACGAGACGGTACACCGTACTTACGTGCCGCCTGCAACGCGCTCATCCCCGAACGTACCGCCTCGATCGCGGACATGATGTCGTTTCGCGTATACTGCTTGTATCGTTTCCACTCGGGCTTCTGCGTTGGAACGTAATTCACGATTCCTAGCGGAACAAAACCAACGAACATATTTCAGATTCTCTTTGGAACGTTTGCTTCTTACCGGCTCGCGCTTACCCCTTCCGCCTTCCCTCCCTCGTTCTCTCTACCTTTTACTTTCGATCTTTAACGTCCTACCTTCTACCATCGTAAACCGACTCGCGCGACAATATCTAACGGTATCCAATGGTATCCGGGCTTTCCCTTACCTGACTTGTCCCCGGGGTACGATTGCGGCGAGGGTTGCTTATCGTCCTCGTCCATCATGGACACGTCCGTGTAGGGGCTGTGAGCGGGCTCCCCTTGAGTCGAGACGTCTTCGCTGTTCCGCCTATCGTGTTCGTGGGACGAGCCGTTGCTGCTGCTGTTCCTAAAGTGGTTGTTCTCGTGACTGTCCGGATGCAACAGAGGGACGCCTTGCGAGCTGTCCGCGTGACCCTGGCCGAGAACCGTCCTGAGAATCGGCGTGTCCCGATTCATCAACATGTTCGAGAGCTTCTTCCGTTTCAGCGGCGACGTTTCGTAGCCGTTGTCGTACGAGCCGGACAGAATCGAATGCTGGGAATGTTGGCCGTGCTGAGAATGCTGAGAGTGCTGCTGGGAATGATGCGACGGCGCAGCCTGATGGTTCGAGCTCGCGTGAGGGATGGGCAGCCCCGAGAGTTGCCACATGTGCAACGGCAGCCGATTCGCGCCTCTGTCCGACGACTTCCCGTAGACGTTGTACGAGGCGCCGGTCGAGTGCGGCGGCGACGCGTGGCCGCTGCTCTGGGCCGCGCTGCTGGTCGTGCTCGTGCTGATCGCCGGCGGAGGAGACATCGACGTCTCCGCCTCCTCGAGCCCGGCCCGGCGACCTTGCGAGGACGAACCGGAACCGTTCTCCTCCACCAGGCCCTTCACCTTCAACACCTCGGCGACTTTCAGCAGGCCGGCCAGCTGCTCCTGCGCCACGTTCACCTCGCCCCGGTACATGTACTCGAGAATCGCCTTGATCTCCGAGTACTTGACGTCTTTTAGAACGACGATCGGATGTTTGCACGGCAGGTCCATGAACAACGTTTGAAAGTAGGAGGAACAGGCGGCCAGCACCATTTTGTGACACTTGATCGAAGCACCGCCGTCCACCGCCAACGTTACGTCGGTAAATGCCTCGTTCTGCAGCAGCTCGTCGAACACCGTCAACAAATTCGAACGGTGGTTGTTCCAGCGCAGGCAATACTGCTGCGACGTGCTCGCCATCGCGGCGACGACCTTATCGTCGCGGCGGATCCTGGAAAAATTGATGCGCGATCAGAGAAAGAGAGGGAGAGAGAGAGAGAGAGGAGACGAAACAAAGATCGGGCTCTCCCGAGATCTCCGGTGCTCTTCCCAACGAAGATATATCCCAACGAAAATACTCCCGTTGGGCGGTAGATCTTGGGCGAAATTTTTACCAAATTCTGACTCTATTTTCATCGAGTTCCGCTGGAAGAGAACTCTCGACTAATCGCGATCGAACAGTTTGTCGAACCGTACGCGCATAGAAGATACTTTCGAAACGTTGAGCCGCGCGAAATAATACGAATAGAACGCGGTCGAGAACGAAAAGTCGTTAACGAAATTCGGTAATTACCTCCGCCGTGACTCACTCGCGTGGAACTATACCCCTCCTGATCCATATCCACCGCCTAATATACGAGAAAATGCGTAAAACAGCCAGCCGAAGCAACACGCGTGCGCGCAACGAGCACGCGTGTGGCAAACGCGTACTACACGGAAGTTGTCGCGCGATCGCGAACGCGATTAAATTGATTCTACCGCTGCTAGGCTGTTCGAACACGCGATTCAAATAATTATGTACTGCTAGGTTTCCCCATGCTCGTGCATCTCGCGTCTCGCCTCTTACGTCTCCCGCTAATCGCCTATAAATAAATTCAAATCGCGGTAATCTACGAATCAACAATCGCGTACGAATTGCTGCAACGCAACGTAATTCTAACATACTCTGCGAGATGGTGCCCCTTTGGCTCGGTTGCGACGGCGACGACGACGACGATGACGATAGCGATGGCGCCGCGAACGTTCAAATGGCCGCCGAGGTGTATGCTAGGAGATCCACGAACCTGCGTGCGTGTGCACTCGCATCCGCTGCTCGATCTTCTCAGGGTTTCCACAGATCGGCAGCAAAGCTCTGCTGACCGACCGACCGATCGAACCACTTGCACCCTTCAGTTATTTTGCATGATGACTGGAGACGGGTGCGCGTGAGGCGCGCAAAACTCGATTCGACTTGTTGCGAACGGACCGATCAAAACAAACCTCGTGACTTCATTCTCATTCGACTGTGCGATCCGTGCATGGACACACGTACGTAGACGCGAGCACGAATCGTCGGACACACTGCTGCGCGCGCGCGCGCGCGCACGAGACAACGGACGATAGAGAGAATAAAGGGAATAAATAGAGTAAAGAGAAAAATACAATTTTCTACTCTCTCTCTCTCTCTCTCTCTCTCTCTCTCTCTCTCTCTCTCTCTCTCTCTCTGTTCCCTCTCTCTCTATCTATCTCCCTCTCTCTTCCTCTACCCCTCCTCCCGCACTCTTTCTCGCTCTTTCTCTCTCTTGTGCGCGTTCTCTCTCTCTCTCTCTCTCTCTCTCTTCTTCTGTCCTTGTTAGTTTCGCTTGCAATTTCTGTCTGCTCTCAGCAGTAGCCTCGAGAAGGGTCTCCTGCGTTCATCGCAGAATTCTTTTCATTTGCCTCTGTTCCGTGTCCGTGCGCGCGCGCGCGCGCGCTTTCTCTGTGCTCCCTTTCCAAGTCCGTAGTCGAAAGAGCTTTTCAATTTTCTTCGGTTTCCTTCAGTTTTCTTTGATTTTCCTCTATTTTCTTGCACATCGGGCAACACGGTCTCGACGATTCGTCTGTTCTTGCGATACGAGTGCACACCCGCAGCCAGGACGAAGTCGACGCGCGAACGGAAACCCTCTCCTACGACCTACTCGGCGACCACTGACGAACCGTGCGTTTAGAAGACGCACTCAGCCAAGAGCTGGTCATGGCCCGACTCGCATAGGGGTGGCCACGCCAACATGTGTTGGTGCGTTGCTCTATCTCTCCGACTCTCTCTATCTCTCTTCTTTGCCGTCTCTCTATCCTCTATCCGCGCGACGGCTGGCTGTCTGTTTCTCCCTGTTCGTGTGCCTCTTGCCTCTGCCTCTGTCTATATGTATGTGCGAGGAGAGCACGAGTAACGTCGCAGTGGCGTAACCGACGCGCTTCTAATGCGAAATATATCTAGGGGACCTGCGCAGCTGATTCTCGAGCCGAATGCACGCTGCCGACAAGAAGTAAAGGTCATTTCTGTTGCATGTACAGCTATTGGAACAGTCTCTGGCGGTTTATCGACCTACCATGAAATGCGAGCCAACCATTAAGTGGATTCGCAAAATTCCTCTCTCTCTCTCTCTCTCTCTCTCTCTCTTTCTCTCTCTCTCTCTCTCTCTCTCTGTGTGCGTGTGTGTGTGTGTGTTTAACAAGATTCAAGATTCATCTTGGAGAGACGACGCTCGTCTTTTGCATCCAAGCCACTTTCGTTCCTATTTTTTTACGTGTTTGCGACGATCGTATCGTTGACACTCCGACATTCGCAGCAGACTAGAAAAATGAGAATTCGCGTAAACGCTCTGCAATCCGTTAATTGGTAAAACGATAATTGCTATTGCAAGACGGTATTTGTGACATCGACGATCTTGACTTTAGGCACCAAGGATTTCTCTTACATTATCGAGTCGCGTTACACGAATCGTCCAAAGTCTTTTTGCAAAGAAGTTACGTTGGCTGAATCGATTTTCCAAAGATGAATTTAAAAAGCCTAAAAAATGCGAAGCCACGGCGTTACGCCACTGAATAGCACACACGAGGAAAGACTTGCACAGGCATCGTCGACCCTGGTTGCACGATCGGCCAATCACACAGCGCCTAGGCCAATATCCTGCGGGATACGACGCACACGCGTGCAACCAGTGCATACGCGCGGCTGTATGCGTGCGGCTGCGGCGTGTATAGCACCGATGCGTCGACGTGTTCGTAACTGCGTACACCCACGTCTTTTACCCGGATATCGTCGGCTAAAAGCGATGACTCCTAGTTTTTCAAACTCGCAAGCTTCCGAACAACTGTCTCTCCTTCATCGAGAAAGAGCCGTGAGAATTTTCAAATATTTCCTCCCAACGAATACGTTGCTCGTCCTTCGGTTATCTTTCAGCTTCCTCGTCGCTCCGAAACAAACGCAGCACAATATTAGATGAAGACGGACTAGCTCCGATCGACGAAAACCGTTTCAAAATCGAATCAACGTTAACGTACCGTAGTCGCAGGAGCCGCGTTCGCCGATTCTATCCTCGAGCGCATTCCTCGAATTATTTCTGAAAACAACAAATCATTAATTAGCGATTTACCGAGTTGCTCGACGACAGGTGTTGGCAGACTAGGCTGTCGGCCGTGGAGCTACCCGACTGCACGATCGTAAATTAGAATTGGTCTAGATTTTCGAAAGAGGGGCCACGTATTTCATAATTTCATTTTCTATATGAAAATATAGACCGATCCTAATTCGGGTCGATCGTTCTCGATTCTTTCGCAATTGGAAGCGACTCGAAGCCATCGCTAACATACTCGTCCCGCGTCGTTCGGTCGTTGAGCCATCGAGGGCGAAAAAGCCGCGTGTTCGTAAGCATCCCCGAAAATTGCCACCACGCCCAGTCCTGCGACGCGACCGCCGATCGCGCCTGCGTCTCCTTATAAAATCCTACGAGTTTTCCCAGGCTCCTGGAACCCTCCGCGGCCACGCAAATCAAATATGTGACTTATGGCGGCTGTCTCGATTCTACGCTACCTAGAATCCTAAAATGCGTCATACGGTCGTATATTATAATAATAGTAACGATAATAAGCACGGGCAAAGACAGGCACAGCCAATCTTCGTAGCGCTCGCAACGGTGCGAACAATCTTAACGATTATGGCCAGGATACGATTAATTTTGATCATTGCTATTTTACCGTTTGCCATGGCCTCGCAAAGTGTTATCAGGAACTAGAATACCGAACGTACACGCCCCAGATTTCTCTGTTCGCATTATCTCGACGAGTTCGTACGATGAAAGAAGAGGACACGATAAATAGAAACGATAACGCGTTACGAACGAAAAGAACATGCGTACGTTACTTTTCTACGCGTTCGCTTTATTCGCGATCGTCGACCAGCCAACGCAGCGCCGACAGTCTCTCGCACAGCGTATGCTGGCTAGACCAAGTTGTAGTCTTACCGGTCTTATGGCACACTGGCATACTGCGTGCCGCGTGCATGTACCGATACAACGGGCCGGGCCAACCTATAAAAACGTGGACGATGCTTGACCCATCACCCGGCAGGCAGCAAACCACGCTTTGCTACTACATACATACTTCTTTCACCGGTTTATCATTCGAACCTGAAATCGTCGTATTTATCGGAGACTCGAATGCTGTTACTCGTTTAGTAATTAAACGGAAGAAACACAGCGCGATCTCGGCAGTATGTTTGTTAGGCGTACACGCGTGCGGAGTCTCCAGAAAACGTTGTGTTTTAAGATGCGCGCGTCTATGGATACTACGCGGTATCCATCTATGCAGTGTCGGTGTTCCAGATTTAGCAGCAAGCTACGGCACCCTCTTGTCTCAGGACAACCGGACTCTCGTGAAGAGAAGAAGCCAGGACCAGCGAAAAGTGTCCCAGGACCTTGGAACGTAAACACAAAATTAAAGCGGAACAGTGGAGAAAACGTCTGAACGGAAATAGAAGCGAAAACGGAAATCGAAATGGAAGCGAAAAGCGAGAAGCGAATAACGCGACGCGTCGTGAAAACGGGAAAAATAAATTCTCGGAGACCGCAACGCGCATCGGGGATATACTTATTAGTGATAGACAGATATACATACGGCGTTGTACATTATCTATGAGCAAAGCGATGATAGAGGGATACCAACTGTTTGCTTATCGGGTCTACAGATAGCATTGGTAGTCTCGATTCCGTATTCTCGCGTATTTTCGTCGAAATCTTCGCTTCGCCCGAGGCTTGCTGGAACGATAAATAAAATTCATTGTACGGAAACTACTCGAAAACATTGTACATTCGTTCCCGAAGATGGAGAAAAACAATTGATATACCGTTATACGTACCGCCTATACCTGCATACCTGCATACGCCGCTGCCACATACCGCATGGGTGTGGGTGTGAGAATAAAGTCCTTCGGGGGGGGGGGGGAACTTTTACATGGATGCCGGGGCCTAGTTTCAGCCGAAAAGGTGGATCCAAGCAGTTTTTCAATCCCTTGGCGAGAGAACCTGTTTTCCCTTCGCTCGCACATGTTCGCCCTCCTCGTCCTCGTACGTTGTTCTCGCAGTTCACCGCATACGATTTCGTATTCCATAGGACCTCGTCGAAAATCCGTCCTACAATTTTTATCCTATTTGAAAAAAATCATATTCCAAAAGTTACACCGACGTGCAGCAGATGCGCAGAATTACAAGATACGTTAATTCGATTCTATATAACTGTCTTACTTTCTTACTTTTCTACTTACGATTCTATGTTCCTTTGCTTGTTTGCGGTGTTCGCTGGTGTAATCGTTGGATCGAGACTATTGAGATGGAGGGG